GGGGTTTTTTTTTTCTTTTGTTCAAGTGCAACCAAAATGGCGTCGTAACCAAAGAAAAAGTGCAGGGAAAATAAACTAAGGTTTTAGCTCTCGCGCATTGCTTTGTGTGTGTACCCACTAAAGCCTTTGTTTTTTTTTAGTGCGAGATTAGTCATTCTTGCGAATTAGACATTGTTGTGAAATCATTTATAATCGAGAAATCACCTCTCATACTGTGTACATATGTGTGTGTGTATACCAGAGCACTTTTTTTCGCTAAACGGTAAATTGGGTCACCACGCAGGCATACTAACTGCGCCATTGCGTTCACAGAAACAGATACACATTTACACACACAGCTACATATATACATGCACACAACTACAATTTTCTTTTCTCTATTTCTCGCACCCATAGCCAAAATGCAGATTTTCGTGAAAACCCTGACTGGCAAGACCATCACCCTCGAGGTCGAGCCCTCGGACACCATCGAGAATGTCAAGGCCAAGATCCAGGACAAGGAGGGCATTCCCCCAGATCAGCAGCGTTTGATCTTCGCCGGCAAGCAGCTGGAGGACGGACGTACGTTGTCCGACTACAACATCCAGAAGGAGTCGACCCTCCACTTGGTGCTCCGCCTGCGCGGTGGCATGCAGATCTTCGTCAAGACCCTGACTGGCAAGACCATCACCCTCGAGGTCGAGCCCTCGGACACCATCGAGAATGTCAAGGCCAAGATCCAGGACAAGGAGGGCATTCCCCCAGATCAGCAGCGTTTGATCTTCGCCGGCAAGCAGCTAGAGGACGGACGTACTTTGTCCGATTACAACATCCAGAAGGAGTCCACCTTGCATTTGGTGCTCCGTCTGCGCGGTGGCATGCAGATCTTCGTGAAGACCCTGACTGGCAAGACCATCACCCTCGAGGTCGAGCCCTCGGACACCATCGAGAACGTCAAGGCTAAGATCCAGGACAAGGAGGGCATTCCCCCAGATCAGCAGCGTTTGATCTTCGCCGGCAAGCAGCTGGAGGACGGACGTACGTTGTCCGACTACAACATCCAGAAGGAGTCGACCCTCCACTTGGTGCTCCGCCTGCGCGGTGGCATGCAGATCTTCGTCAAGACCCTGACTGGCAAGACCATCACCCTCGAGGTCGAGCCCTCGGACACCATCGAGAATGTCAAGGCCAAGATCCAGGACAAGGAGGGCATTCCCCCAGATCAGCAGCGTTTGATCTTCGCCGGCAAGCAGCTAGAGGACGGACGTACTTTGTCCGATTACAACATCCAGAAGGAGTCCACCTTGCATTTGGTGCTCCGTCTGCGCGGTGGCATGCAGATCTTCGTCAAGACTCTGACTGGCAAGACCATCACCCTCGAGGTCGAGCCCTCGGACACCATCGAGAATGTCAAGGCCAAGATCCAGGACAAGGAGGGCATTCCCCCAGATCAGCAGCGTTTGATCTTCGCCGGCAAGCAGCTAGAGGACGGACGTACTTTGTCCGATTACAACATCCAGAAGGAGTCCACCTTGCATTTGGTGCTCCGTCTGCGCGGTGGCATGCAGATCTTCGTCAAGACTCTGACTGGCAAGACCATCACCCTCGAGGTCGAGCCCTCGGACACCATCGAGAATGTCAAGGCCAAGATCCAGGACAAGGAGGGCATTCCCCCAGATCAGCAGCGTTTGATCTTCGCCGGCAAGCAGCTGGAGGACGGACGTACGTTGTCCGACTACAACATCCAAAAGGAGTCCACCTTGCATTTGGTGCTCCGCCTGCGCGGTGGCATGCAGATCTTCGTCAAGACTCTGACTGGCAAGACCATCACCCTCGAGGTCGAGCCCTCGGACACCATCGAGAACGTCAAGGCTAAGATCCAGGACAAGGAGGGCATTCCCCCAGATCAGCAGCGTTTGATCTTCGCCGGCAAGCAGCTGGAGGACGGACGTACCTTGTCCGATTACAACATCCAAAAGGAGTCCACCTTGCATTTGGTGCTCCGCCTGCGCGGTGGCATGCAGATCTTCGTCAAGACTCTGACTGGCAAGACCATCACCCTCGAGGTTGAGCCCTCGGACACCATCGAGAACGTCAAGGCTAAGATCCAGGACAAGGAGGGCATTCCCCCAGATCAGCAGCGTTTGATCTTCGCCGGCAAGCAGCTGGAGGACGGACGTACTTTGTCCGACTACAACATCCAGAAGGAGTCCACCTTGCATTTGGTGCTCCGCCTGCGCGGTGGCATGCAGATCTTCGTCAAGACTCTGACTGGCAAGACCATCACCCTCGAGGTCGAGCCCTCGGACACCATCGAGAATGTCAAGGCCAAGATCCAGGACAAGGAGGGCATTCCCCCAGATCAGCAGCGTTTGATCTTCGCCGGCAAGCAGCTGGAGGACGGACGTACGTTGTCCGACTACAACATCCAGAAGGAGTCGACCCTCCACTTGGTGCTCCGTTTGCGCGGAGGCATGCAGATCTTCGTGAAGACCCTGACTGGCAAGACCATCACCCTCGAGGTCGAGCCCTCGGACACCATCGAGAACGTCAAGGCTAAGATCCAGGACAAGGAGGGCATTCCCCCAGATCAGCAGCGTTTGATCTTCGCCGGCAAGCAGCTGGAGGACGGACGTACTTTATCCGATTACAACATCCAGAAGGAGTCCACCTTGCATTTGGTGCTCCGCTTGCGCGGAGGCATGCAGATCTTCGTCAAGACCCTGACTGGCAAGACCATCACCCTCGAGGTCGAGCCCTCGGACACCATCGAGAATGTCAAGGCTAAGATCCAGGACAAGGAGGGCATTCCCCCAGATCAGCAGCGTTTGATCTTCGCCGGCAAGCAGCTGGAGGACGGACGTACTTTGTCCGATTACAACATCCAGAAGGAGTCCACCTTGCATTTGGTGCTCCGCCTGCGCGGTGGCATGCAGATCTTCGTCAAGACTCTGACTGGCAAGACCATCACCCTCGAGGTCGAGCCCTCGGACACCATCGAGAACGTCAAGGCTAAGATCCAGGACAAGGAGGGCATTCCCCCAGATCAGCAGCGTTTGATCTTCGCCGGCAAGCAGCTGGAGGACGGACGTACTTTATCCGATTACAACATCCAGAAGGAGTCCACCTTGCATTTGGTGCTCCGCTTGCGCGGAGGCATGCAGATCTTCGTGAAGACCCTGACTGGCAAGACCATCACCCTCGAGGTCGAGCCCTCGGACACCATCGAGAATGTCAAGGCTAAGATTCAGGACAAGGAGGGCATTCCCCCAGATCAGCAGCGTTTGATCTTCGCCGGCAAGCAGCTGGAGGACGGACGTACTTTGTCCGATTACAACATCCAGAAGGAATCCACTTTGCACTTGGTATTGCGTCTTCGTGGCGGCGCTCTATAAATTTTCTCAGCTTAACGTCATTATGATCTTGTATTCGTTTAGTTTATGTTTATTGGCTTTGAAACTCTATAAAATGTAATCTCTATTTGTAATATCCACCAATTCAAAATATTAAATTTGCATGTTCTAGTAAGATTCTGATGATCACATGTAGGTGATGCTGGAGGAGGTTTTGGAGGTGATGCTGCAGCTCTGGAATCGATTATCGATTTGTTCAATTTGAATCGAGGGCTGCTGTATGATTGAAGCTATCGTGCTTTATAGTTAGATTAATGCATTGAGGGAGGCTTTGCTCTACAGTCATTTTAATGCCTCGGAAAAAGTCGACTGCTGCTGATGGGATCTGTCTTTCAAACAAAGATTTTGTTTTACATTTTTGAGTCCAAAAATACCGATTCATCTATAGTTGTGCACGATAGCCCTGGTTTCAAGCCAATCCAATCCCTCCAGTTCTGGACAGGCTCAGAATGGGGATAGAAACTTTCCATACGCTGGGTTCTTTAATTTTCGCTCACAAATCGTACTTACGTGTATCATTTATTTCAATAGATTGCATTTAAATCCTTTTATTCATTTACTTTCAAACAATTTCTATTTGGCGCGCACCTCTCGTATCCAGTCGATAGTATCGATAGCTGAACTTGAATCGGGTAAGGACCTCCGGTTGACAACAATAAGTCTCAGTCCATACTTTAGAATTATATACTTAAATTACTGTACTTGGATATCGACTTAGGGTGAATATGCCCAATTATTGGGGAATATTAACACGACCCATCCGGATATTCTGTGGCGGCCGTGCTATGCTATTCATCATGTTGGCCACTTTAACTACTATTAAAATTGGTACTGATAAGTTAGTTTAAATATGGATTTGATGTTCACCTCATATAATACACATAAATATATAGACATATTTTTTTTTAAATATACCGCCAAACTACAAACGGGTCGACGCGATTTTTGCTCTCGGCCAATGAAAATCTTCAAAAAAGCATTGCAAACTGCAGCAACAACATTTTTTCGGCCAATGAAATCGTCAAAAAATTTCAGGCCGAAAGCAAAAATCGCGTTCCATGTTGCAACATGCAAGCAACATTGCATACCCTAGGAAAGGATTTTATAGAATTGAGAAAATGTTTGCAATCCACGCTCTAATTATTGCTGACTAGTGTCAGTCTCTGTTTTAAAGCTATTTCAACGACATTGTGCAGCAGTGTCTTCCTACAGAGACCATCAGTAGGTATCGGGATCGGGATTTATATACAAGACACTACTCATATGCATGAATATTTCTATAACATATCAATCTGAGCAAGGGTCCTTATTAATTTCGTTTTACCTTCATATCATATCTTCATTTTTGCTTTCGGCCAAGCCCAATGAAAATTTCTTATTTGGACCATAGCAACAAAAGTTCAAACGTTTAAAATCTTCCTTATTTCGTAAAAAGTTTTCGTTGCGTTAACAGTAACAGTGTGACCGTACCGCAACAATTTTGCGCTAACAGCACCTTATGAGGAAATAAGCAAGCGGTCCGGTCTGACCCACTTCTTTTTTTTGTTATTAAATCTCTGACAGGTGAAGAAGAAGCACTGGGAATTGATTTTAGTTTGAACGCCGGGGCGCGCATCCTTTAAAGGAGATGGACAGCCGGACAGAGGTCGGCCTCGCCAAGTGCGTGCCCTGCATCCCCCCAGCTACGACTGTCTACCTGAATGTGCCGCTGCCGATGTCCGGCAAGAATATCCGGGCCAGGTAAAGCTCTCTCTCCTATTCTAAATCGTTGCCCCTTTTAACTTTCTGGACGAACTCGTAGAAGCCTCGCAACATTGCCGTGCACACAATGAAGGCGTCTGCTCTTCTGTAGACAGCCTACAGGCCTTTATCCAGGCATCATTTAGTCGATGGCAATGAGCGGCTGGCCTACAAGCTGGAAGGAGTCACGGCGCTGGCCCTGGTTCAACAGTCCGATATGATCTACTATGCCCATGGCAAGCGAATCGATAAAAGGAACAAGTAAGCAACGAATATGGATATCCTTTGGACACATGTGTAATCCCCTGCTCCCTTGTTTCGATGCACATCTCGCAGGTGATCAACATTGCCGCCGTGGAGGGACTTGTGTACTGGCTGGACGACAAGACCGGAGTGGAACGGATCACTTTCAACGGTGAGCGTCGTTCCGCGGAGCTGTAGCGTCTGCCACAGATCACCGATCACATAACCACACGCGTCTGCACAGCAGCACAAACTATTTCCTCATCTGCATAGCCATTGGCACGCAGAGTGTGCGACGTCTGCTCGTGCCCCCAGTATCTGATGATGCTGGAGGACAAGGAGAACTGCCGCGCGTATCCGGCCTGGGGGCCAGATCATTAAACGTGCGCGGCCCCAGTGGCGGGAACAGTGACATGAACAAGGACTGCACACCCGGCTCCTGGCGCTGTGAAGCCCAAATGTGAAGTGGGATGTCCCACATGCCGGTGGATCAGTTCAGCTGCCAGTCGAGTGCATCGACAAGGCTCTGGTCTGGGATGCCACCACCAACTGTGACAATGGCCACGATGTGGTCGACTGCTTTAAGCGGCCAGGAGACTTTCAGTGTCCCATCAACAAGGTGAGTGGAAAGATACAATATCTGTCAAAATTCTTAAACAATATCCTACTCCACCTTCACACAGCTTTGCATATCGGCCGCCCTGCTCTGCGATGGCTGGAACTGTGCCGATGGTGCAGACGATTTTCCCCATATTTTTTTTTTTCATGGCGGCGCATGTCCCTGACTCGGATATTCTCGCGCACCGAGCCAAAGAATCGAGCTCTGAGCAGTAAGAAAAGTCAAAAATAGTTAAAAATCTTCATATGAAATAAACGAAATTGGGGTATATGTATGTACATAGGCCCATACTACGGCTTACACACAACATGTACCAGCATCATTACGACTGTTTTTGTTGAACTATTTTGTTTAAACCTTGTTTTAGTCAAAATACAATAAAGCAAGTATTTAGAATAAGCCAGTCAATTAGAAAATAGATTCATCAATCGTATAAAACTATGTGGGCATGGCTAAATGTTCTATCTAACTAATAATATTCGACGGCACAAAACAAAAGGGCAATATGGTTTCCAATCCTTGACGGAGAACGATTAACCTATTATAAGCCAAAGGGGTATTTCAATTTTTCCACCGAAAAATAATGAAAATTTAGTAATTTTAGCGCAGTTCAGGTGAAAGCTAGCGTTCTTATTTTTTAAATTCAGATGAATCTACAAGAAGAAATTACAATCGTTAATATTTTCAGCTATTTACCTCAAGTTGTTAAACTATTTAATTAGAGGGGGCTGAAGGGGGCTAAGATCGTTTTTTCATCATAACGAAACGCTATGTTGTTGTTGAAGAACAAACACAGCAATCGCCGTAGCATAAAAACAATTCAAGTACTTAAAACAAACTAGTCGAATAGAAAATTGATTCTTTAATCGGATAAAATTATAAGGGTAGGGCTGAGAGTTCTATCTAGCTAGTAATATTCCACGGAATTTCAAAATCGAGAAATATGTAAAATATAACTTGAATTAGTCAGTTTATGTACGGTATGTTTACGAAATAAAACGGTATGTTTTGGTGTATTTTGGAGGGTTGGACGGTATATTTTAACGATAAATCCGCGGTCACACTGTGCACAGCTCTATTTTGCGATGGCCTAAAAAAAAACAAAGCCCGTCCCGTGTAAAAATATTCAAAAAGTGTGTGTTATATCAAACAAATCGTAACTCAAGCTCTAATTAACATCGATTGGAACGACAATTAAGTGCTGAGTGCAGTTGAAAAACAATTTCTTGACATGGACAAACGGGACAAAATAACGCAAAAGGAAAAGTTTTTTTTTTCTCAACGTTCTCTTTGAACGCATTTCGTTCACACACAACACACACTCACGCAAAACCAACGCGCAGCGCATATACACAAAGAAAGCAGGCAAAAAGGCAGTGAAAATCGACAAGCGTGTGAGCGAGAGAGAAGGAGAGCGCGCGCAGGTTTCGCGGTAAAGAGGCACTCACACAGAAACACACACACGTAAAGTGAGTGAAGGCAGCAGGATAAAACAGGAGCGACGAAGATGAGCCAAAGCATAAAAGTGAAAAATAATTAAAGGTTGCCTGGCAGTGGTCGAAGGAGCGGTACTGTGCGGTGCAGCAGTGTTCGGTGTACGGTGTACGGTGTGGTGTGTGGAAAGAGTGAAACGGAGCAGCGGTCGAACAGCGATTCCCCTACAAATTGGCCATTTTGGCGTTGTTCTCCCCTCCTCTCCTGCGACCATTCTTATTTTTGGCAGTCGTCGTCGTCAAATCTCTCTCTCATTCTCTCTCTCTGTCTTTTGGTTTGGTGTTGCTCTCTCCCCCAGCCACTGCTTCAGTGGGGGGTACGAAAAATTCACATGCAACAACAACGACAAAAAACAATAGCAGCAGCAGCAGCAGCAGCAGAAGCAGCAGCAGCAGCAGCGCCAGAGGCAGCAGCAGAAGTGGCAGTGGGAATCGCAGTCGCGCTCGCAGTCGACGCAGACGACACAGGCAGAGCCAGAGCCGCAGTCGACGAAATAAATGTATTTTGTATATATATAAAACGAAAAATAAATAGTTTTTAAATCAATTTAAAGAATCCTTAAGCCCCAAAATATACAATAACGGTAAAATAACATCGCAAAGTAAAAGGAATGTAAAATTTTAAATAAAATGCAAAAGGCAAAGTAAAACAAAAAAAAAATAGAGGAAAACGTCAAAAACGCTCAACAAAATATTCGCCTTTTACACGATTGCAATTGAGCGTTCACGGATTCGAGAATTTCATCCATCCAAAAAAAATAAAATAATAATAATAAATTAAACAAGTAAAATAAAATAATTAACAAATAAAATAAATAAGCTCCAAAAATCACACGAATACAAACGCGCGCCCGGAGCAAAGGAACGGGAAATAGTGCCAGAAACAGCGGAGCAGGGCCGCAACACCCACACACACACACACACACTCACACCCACACCCATACACATCAATACAATCTCAGCCTCACGCTGGCGAATCGCAGCGGCAGCAGCAACAACAGAGGAGGCGACTCCGGTGCCGGTGGAGGAGGGGACGGAGGACCCGCAGGTCCTTCAGTGGCCACTGGCTCTAACCGAAACAACAACAATAATGGCGGAGGAGCAGGCGGCGGCGGTGGTGCCGGCGGTGGCGGTGGCAACGGAGGAGGTGCAGGCGCTGGCGCCGAAGCAAACGCCGGAGGTGGAGTAGGCGGTGGCGGTGCCAATGAATGGAATCCCGAAGAAATGGACCGCTTCAGCTTCGACGACTCCATCCGCTTCGAGGAGGACTCGCTGTGCAGCTGGAGCTCAGAGCCCGAATCGTTGTGCAACAATTGGCGCGGCTGGAAGAAGCCCACCAATGCAGCCGGCGGACCTGGGGCCGGACTCGGCATGGGTATGGCACCATTTGGAACGGTCGGCGGAATGGGAGCCGGCGCTCCCGGCTCCTGTGGACCGGGCGGAAGCAGTTCGGCCATGGTAACGATGTCAGCCTGCGGCAGATATCATGGTGAGTGGACATTATTTATTTCGGTGCTGAGTGGATTGAATAATTCCTCAAGACAATACTTTAACTATAATATGGTCACCCCCCACCCCGAGATAAAAAACACACAACTTGGGGGGGTTTTCTCAGAAATTTAGTATCTTGTAGTTTTGGGAGGACAGAAGCATTTTTTAAAAATGTGTAATGCGTAAAGATTTATATTTGGTGAGCGTTAAATTAGAGCTACAAATTTGTTAGTTGCGTTTTCTTATTCGAAAACAGAGGTATAGCCTTACGTACATACATACATATGTATATATTTGTTTGACCATAAAATAATGCAGTATTTTAGTGAAATACCAAACTCTGAACAGCTGACTCAACCCAAAAATAAGAAAACAATCTAAAACGATCTAAATCAGCACAAAAATGACGATAATGTTTCGAAATACACAACACAATTCTACAGAGGAGCATGCTCGAGAATTGCAAAAACAACATGCATTGCGTGTGCATCACGAGGCACATTCGCTTGAACAGTTTTTTGTTGTTTCTGTAGTTGGACTGCTCCCAAAAAGCCTCACAATCGCAGTTCTAATCGCTGAGATGTCAAAACAGATCCTTGTCTACCTTAAGCATGCTTATTAGTAAAACAAAAATTTTCATCTAATTTTCGCTGCATAATCAATCCTTCTAAATACGTATAATATTATCATCTTACGCGTACAAATCATGCATAGAAAAAAATCCGGGCCCACCCTTCGCGAAATCCTCGGTACGCGAGACTTTTAATCTCTGCTTGAAAAAGGCTATGTATTTTTCCGTGCAGCAGTTATAATACCGAGAGGGAGGGGGCTGCAAAAAAAAATATCTTTAACGATCCTCTGTTAGTTTTATTATCTGCCTATTTTTCTCATGAGCGACATTTCTAGGACTTCCAGTTTAATGACATTTTGTATGGGATGTCAAGAAAATCGAATGGTAGTTTCGTCTTATTAAATATTATATTTATTATTAATTATATATTATGCTCGTTAAGGTTTTTGGACGAGAAAATAGGAACTCCTGTTCCTGGTTTTTTTCTTCGGTTTTGTCGTTGATCTGGCAACACTGCTCTGTCTGTCTGGCCGGTCTGAAATCATACGCATGACCTTTTCTTCGCCCTTTTGTAAATTGTGTAAAATTGGCTTAAGAGCAACAACAAGCACAATTACATTGTCTGCAATGGTATTGCCTGTTCTGGGGTCTGGGGTCTGAGCCCTGCCTTCCTTCTTGCCTCAGAACAAGTACAGAAACAGACCGGCCAGACATATCCGTCCAATGTCCTCGCCTGCTTATCGCTAAAGTCAAAATCACGACTTTTGTTAGTTACGTTTTTTTTTCCTCGTATTTTGTTTCTGTTTCCTTTCTTGTCTTGTGGCTTATTACGTATTTTTCGACTGTGTGTGTGCGCGTGTGTGTGTTTTTGGGCCCTTCAGAGCTAGAGAAAGAGAGAGAGAGAGAGACGACGTTCTGACACTCTCTATCTTGTATCCTGTGCGCCGTCGCAGCAGCATTATCAGCATGTAATCTTTAGCTGCGACTGCGGCTGCGACTACGACGGCGCTGCTAGCTCGGTCTGGTCGTCTCTCTCTTAGCTCCTCTGCCTTCGTTTGATTCTTTGTAAGATTGTTGTAGAGAGCGTCCAGTAGCCTTGGGGAGAGGACAACATACAGAGAAAGAGAGAGAAAAAGATTGAAAGCATCTTCGTGCAGTTTAGCAGATGGCATGGTGTATTAATACGAGGTGAGGTATGCGCTGAGACGATAACGATAGGGGCCTTAAGCGAGGAGAGCATGAATGCTTGTCCTTTCATTAAGACACCTTGATGGAGAGTTTATCATCCATCAAAGGTGTATTTACACTTGGTGAAATCCCAAAAAATATTTTCGCTGAACGTGAGCAAGAGTGAGGGTGGAAAAGAAAAGCCCTTACCTTTTAAAATACACCTTTCATTCGTCCATTCTCTATTCTAGGTGTGTGTGTGTGTGTGTGTAATGCCAGCTGCATTTTCATGCTCGAAAGACAATAACCGCAAAACGCAAAAAGAAACAACAAAATTGCTTCAAAATTATGTCGCTGCCAGCAGTGACGCTGACGTCGCCGATGCCGTCTGCTTTATCTTCTTTTTCCCCCCATCTTCTTATTCCTTGCCTGCTCCTTTGCTTCATTGTGTTGTGTCAAAGAACCTTTTCAAGGATACCACCACAACGCACCGCAAACCCAACACCTGCCCGAGGGGGATGTAATAAAAAATAAAGACATACAGCGACATGAACGATTCCATTCTCCCTTTTGCAGACAGCCTTGATCACGTGAAAAGGAGCGACAGGGAAAGCAATTGATTTGATTTGATCTACATATGTATATATATATTCTTATATATTGTTGCTACAAAACTATCATCTCAGACGAACCTCAGTCCGATTATAGGGTCTGAAGAGGGTTAAGTAAATAAATATTTTCTTTTGCAAATTTGTATAGCCAGAGACGAATGAACATGTTTCAAAAGTCATATTTGTTCATTACACAAAAAATACTGGTTTTTACAAAAGTACCAAAATAAGACCTGAATAGATCTCAGAGGATCTTCAGATATTTTATTACATTCTATTGAAGGCTGGAGGCTATATCTTTCCAAATTGCAGCATATTGTTATTTTTGTCGATATGTAACGACCCCAAATGAACCGTGAATCGGTCACGCTGCATTGCGACAGTGCAACTCTGCGTTAGTCGGGGGCCTACGAGTATGTGTGCGTGTTAAGTGCTTGGCGTTGCCACATGTCATCATCTAATTAGTGGGTCGAGGGCTGTGTGTGTCAATTTCGAATTAAGCTTCGCTCGACCCAACGGGAATGCATTCAGTTTTTCATACTTTTCGCTGTGCATATCAGTTTCATGCACTTCCGCAGTCCCAACAATTACACGAGCATATGCAAGACAGACCATATCCACCACAGTACGGCACACACACACAGACCATGGAAATGATGGTTTGCATTTTGACCTCTTTTTCCTTAGTTTATCTTTTTCTCTTTGTTTTTTGTTTTGTTTCTTTTTCGAGCCAAACTTTTTGTTCTGTATAACCTGAATTTGTCATGTCGAACAACAGACAAAACCCAAAACATGCAGGCAACACAAAAAACTTTGTTGAACATTAAAAAAAAAAAACAAAAAAAAAAAAAATGAAAAACATACCAGGAATCGAATGCCGGCCCTTAGGGAGAGGGTCAGAACGCGGTCCTAGCCACTAGACCATATGGGATATGTTGTGCGGACGAGCATCATTTTCGGCACGACTACTACTATCTGGGAGGCCAGGGAACGTCGCCGTCGATGGCTGTTCAACACATGACGGATGCACAATCGGACTTTAGCAATCTAGCATACAGCACCTCTTGCCCAACTTTGTTTTGGGAATTCGTTCCGTAATAACAAAAATAATTGGAGCATGAGGTTTGTTTTTATTATTACGAGTATTATGATTGTTACATATCTTGTTCGTTGCAAATGGAAAACAAATTGAAATGCATACGAAAAATCGCCAAGAGGAAGGAGTGGGCAAGAGCAAGGAAAGAGCAGAGCAGAGCAGACCAGACCAGAGGCGAGCTCAAATAGATAGGAAAGGTGGGGGGAAAACAGAGTCAGCAGAGTACCTGCATATAAAAGAGGGGAACGGAATACAATACAAAACAAACCTGTTTGAAGCAATAGCCTTGAACCAGCTGAAAGAAACACAAACGAATCGGTTATTAAACCTTCTTCAATCAAATTTGTGTGACTCATTGGGATATTGGAATCACCATTAACATCCGAGCCGATGGCCCCTCCCCAGCCTTAGCTAAGTCGATTTTTCATCGGACAAATGCATTTAATTGTTTTATTTTCATTCCATTAATGTTTCATTTATTTTCCTGCTGAGGCAAATGGAATTGAAATGAGTAAAGCAGAAATTATTTTTACATTTATGGGGGTATGAGGTGTGTCTCCGTATCCGTATATGAGGAGGGATAGGCATGAGCAATAAGTTAACGCTTGCGGAAAATGACTTTGAATAAAATGGTGCCAAAGTGTCTGAAAATTAAGCGACGACGACGACACCATCCAACGTCGTCACGGCGCACGAACGGAGCTGGTTTGCAGCTTGCCCGACCGCGAGCGAGAGCGAAACCGAAAAATGAGAACGAACGAGGGGAAGAAAACAAACAAACAAACAAACAAAACAAAGAGCTGTTCAGCGCTGTCGATTCAGCTTTATTATGGCCACATTTAATGCGAACCACAGCCAGTTTATCGGAGTATCGATCACTTAATGGCACATATTTATTCATTTTTTTGAAGTGTCATCGATTTGGAAATTTCTACATTGCATTTAAAAATCCACCAATAAAATGCACGTATTTTCATAATTTTTATATTCCTTTCCGTAAGCCAATTACGCCTAACATCCTCAATAGAGAACTGTAATTGAACTATTTCCCAACTGCGCAATTTATATGGAAAAGCTATTATTACCGAATCGATTTCGACCGAGAGACTGAGTTTTTGTTTTGTTTCCTGCAGGATGGTTAATATATTTTTGTGCTTTAACGCGTGTGGATTTTCGAACTCTTTCTAATCGAATTTCTTAGTGACTTGGATTGCCCATGTAATCATGGTAATTGAAAGGTTCATGTGAATAAGTGGTATGATTTTTAATTTGAATTCTCCCATTAAGTGCACACATGCAGTACAGAAAAGCCTATAAAGTGGCTTTACTCATTGCGTAAACCATTTTTGTTGTTTTAACCACGATAGACTCCTATATGCGATTGTCAAACATATTTTTTCCCTTAAAATATAATAGATTTACGCTTTACTTGCTCAAAATTGTTGAGTATTTAATAGAATAGATGTGCAGTTCTATTTTACATAATATGAGCAGAGTCTTGGTAAATGATAAGTAAGATTGCTACTAGTCCTGTCCGTTAGGAGAGCCCTGGCTCATGGATGGTATCCAAGGGCTGGAGAGGAGTCCATTAACCCATAATGATAGTGAAAGCTTTCGGATCTGGTTTCTCCGGTCAAATGTTAAACGCTCTTCTCTAGATGACTCGGCTCTCTGTCGCTTAGACTGCCTCTTTCTGTCTCTTTCTTCCTCTAAATCAGCCTCCACCCTCTCTCTTTGCGTGGGCGAACTTGAACTTTTTTTTGTTTGCTGCTGGTTGCTGCACTTCCCCTCGCTCCTTATGCTAAAGCACACAAGAAAACTTCTCTTCTTTCAGTTCTGTTTTGTGTCGCTTCTTTGTTTTGCATTTGCTCGTGTGGGCTTTTGCGTTTTTTTTTTTTTTACTTTGCTTTTGAGCTTTAAAGCAAACAAAAAAATAATGGGAACGAGACCTTTAAAATGCAGGCCATTGTTGTTGTTGTTGGTCTCGCTCGCCCCCCCCGCGGGCGCCGCACTGTCGTCGGTAGCATTTGCCTTTTGCATTTGTTTATTTGCATGCCAATTCATTGAATTTTTGAATTTTATTTTGTTTGGTTTATCTACAACTCAATTTTGCTGCAATAATAGCGTCCACAAAGAGAGGAGGAGCACACCCGACAACAAATAGAGGGCTAAAAATGCGTGGCCAAGATACTCACGCACGCACGCAAACACACACACACACACAGCCAGGCGTGCATACGTGCAAGAAGGTTTTCCCTCGCACGCACATGTATGCATGTATGTGCATACACAGCGAAGAAGCAGCGACAGCCAGCACGTTGTTGACCTCTCTCTTTGCACTGCTTTGCACTCCTCTGCACTCCTCTGCTCTGTGCTCTCTTCTCTATGCTCTCTGTTCTCCTCGGACTGCGCTCTGGGCTCTCCTGGTCATTGGCCGTGCGCCATATAAAAGTTCTTTAATTAATAAATGTCTGACATGTGTGCATACATATGTATGTGTGTCTGTCTCTCTGTCTTGTCTTGTGTGCGAGAGAGTGCGTGTAGCTTTACCCTGCTTTGTTTGTCTTTAATTATTGGCCAAGAGAGAGCGAGAGAGAGAGAGTGAGAGTGAGCGAGAGAGATGTGGAATTAGTCATTTCTGATGCTCCTTAATCAATGATACCATGTACTCTCTCGCCAGAGCATAATGCTGACCTTTCCAATTCACTTGCATTGCAATGTGAAGAGAGCATTTATTTACAGCTCCTTGTCCCTGGGTGGCAACGCCACCAATGAGCATAATCTTTCATTTCATTTGATTGGATTTCCTCTATGTCCTTGAATTGCTGCGACTCATGAAATGGGCTGGAAAATAACGATATACGTATGGCCATTTGCATTGGGTTTTTCCTAGAACTACAACTCTCCCACTCCCCTCCTGTTGAGTGTAAGCCGTGGGGGGGGTGTCTCACTGGAGAATAGATATTTCAAAAATACTATGCAATAATTACCACTGTTGCTGGAGGGGGGAAAGCTTACAAAAATTCCCTTTGAGTTCAAGCGTAATTGCTTTTCTGCACTCTCATTTCATTTGATCCTTTTCCCCCATCATCTTGTGGAATGTAATTTGAGGTGTCCTTTAATCTCTAGAACTTGTCCGACAGGCATTTCATTTCATTTCATTTCTTTTTCCCTCTCTGAGGTATAATTTTGGTTTGCTGGACACATTTAATTAATTTTCGGTTTCTTTGTGTTGTGTTTTCCACAGAGGTTTCCACATTGGCCGAACTGTCCGCCCGCTGTGTCGCCTCCTACATACCGTTCGAGCTGGTGGAGCATGTCTATCCGCCGGTGCCGGAGCAACTGCAGCTGCGCATCGCTTTCTGGAGTTTCCCGGACAATGAGGAGGACATACGGCTGTACTCCTGCCTGGCCAATAGCTCGGCGGATGAGTTCAATCGGGGCGATCAACTGTTTCGCATGCGAGCTGTCAAGGATCCCCTGCAGATAGGTAAGAAAGGATCTGGCTTGCTGGCTTCCTGCTCTGAACACTCTGATACACGGCTCTGCTTTTGCTCTTACAGGCTTTCATCTGTCGGCCAGCGTGGTTAATCAGACTCCCCGGGCGTACTTCAATGTGGCGGTGACCTTTGACCGGCGTCGCATCTCCTCCTGCAATTGCACGTGCACCTCGTCGGCATACTGGTGCTCCCATGTGGTGGCAGTCTGTCTGCACCGCATCCATTGCGTGAGTGTCCCCATCTTGCACGACAGCTATCCCCCAGATACCCCCCAAACTGACTTTCTCCCGTCTTTTCGCTTTACAGCCGCAGGAGGTCTGCCTGCGTGCCCCTGTCTCCGAGTCCCTGACACGCCTCCAAAGGGATCAGCTGCAAAAGTTCGCCCAATATTTAATCAGTGAGCTGCCGCAGCAGATTCTGCCGACGGCCCAGCGGCTCCTGGACGAGCTGTTGAGTGCCCAGCCGACGGCCATCAATACGGTGTGCGGGGCCCCAGATCCGACGGCGGGGGCATCGATTAATGACCAAACCAGCTGGTATCTGGACGAGAAGACGCTGCACAACAACATTAAGCGGATCCTCATCAAATTCTGTTTGCCCGCCCCGATTGTATTCAGGTATAATCCGAACGCTTTTAGTCCGCTTAGAAAGGCTCTAATCCCACCCTTCCCCCTCCCCCTGCCCATCTCCATCGTCTTTCTCTTTGTCTCTGTAGTGATGTCAACTATCTGACCAATTCGGCTCCCCCAGCGGCGGCCGAATGGAGCTCACTCCTGCGACCGTTGCGGGGCAGAGAGCCGGAGGGCATGTGGAATCTGTTGTCGATTGTGAGGGAGATGTACAGGCGGTGCGATCGGAACGCGGTACGTTTGCTGGAGATCATCACGGAGGAGTGTATGGCCTGCGACCAGATACTCATCTGGTGGTTCCAAACGAAGCTGGCCCTGATGATGGGCTCCCATGGACACAGCGGGGGCAAGCACTCGAACACGCACTCGAATTCGACGGCCCTGCAGCATGCGTGCAGTTCGCTGTGCGACGAGATTGTGGCCCTGTGGCGGCTGGCCGCTTTGAATCCCGGCCTGGCGCCGGACGAGCGGGACATGCTGCATGCCCAGTTCACCGCCTGGCATCTGAAGATACTCGATCGCGTGGTGAAGAGCCGCATGATGCCCTCCTCGTACACGAACAAGCACCAGATAAACTCCCGCTCTGACACGGAGCTCTTCATTGGCTTCAAGCCGGCCATTGAGGCGTGCTATCTGGACTGGGAGGACTATCAAATACCGGGCGTGACCCACACCCACGACACGAATCCCATTTACTACTCCCCCTTCACCTGCTTCAAGCACACGGAGATCAAGGGCGACGGTGCAGCCATTCCCCCGGGCACGCTCATTGCCACCCAGGCCCTGATGAGCAACAACAAGCACTACAACTACTTTAGCTCCTCCAACGAGCATGCAACCGGTGGCCTGCATCCGGGTGCCTTCAAGCAGCGCCTGGATCGACCCTTCCGCGACCGACTGTATGCGAGTCCTGCCATCGAGTCGCCCATCCTGGCCGGAGCGGGACGCCAATATTCCGCGGGACTGGGACTTGCCGCCGAGGCAGGTGGCAGCAGTGGCGTGGGAGGAGTGGCGGCAGTAAACGGAGGAGGTGCTGGAGCAGGAGGTGGCATGTCCAATGGCGAGGCCGATGCCGCACAGCAGCAAATGCCGAGCAGCTCGGCGGGAGCCAGTGGATCGGGAGCGGGCCCGAACGTCGTAGGAGGAGGAGGCGTCCGAAGAGCACCAGCAGGCGCTGGTCGTGCCGATGGCAACCGTTCGAGCGCCAGCAGCGAGGGATTCTGCGAGAACGACGACTTCGGAGGCGACAACAGCAGCAGCCACAACTATTGCACACCGGCGCAAGCTGTGCCCGGCCAGAAGTCGACCCTTACCGAGTCCGATTCGCAGAGCAGCTTCGATGCCGTCTCCCAGCAGAGCAAAGACGAGCCCGGCCTGGGGCCCGGCGGTGGCGTAGGCGCCGGCGGTGTGGGTGGTACCGGGGAGCAAGGAGTTTGCTCCACCTCGGACACCTCGTCGGCATCGTCATCCTCGTCGGCATCGACGGCTTCGGGCAGCTCGAACAGTTCCACCTCATCCATGCTGATGGCCGGACAGGAGGCTGTTGTGGAAGGAGGCTCCTCGACGCAGCAGCCAGCCCGAAGGTTGAGCAAGGACGAGTCCTTCAGCAGCAGCAGCGATGACTTCGCCCATGCAGCGGTGGGAAGAGGCGGAGCCATGCCATCTGGCAGCGGAGGAGGAGGAGTGGCCATACCAGCAGGAGGCGATTTGACGCCTGTGCCCAGTACCTCGGCAGCGGCTCGAGCGGCACTGGCGGCAGGTTCTGGCTCCACAGCCATGGGACAGGCAGCTGTGCAGACGCCTCACCTGCCAGGAGCAGGGATCGGCATCGGCATGGGCATGGCAATGGGCATAGGACTCGGAATGGGAATGGGACTAGGAGGAGCATCGATGAATCCACACCCACCCAGCGGCAGCAGCGTCTCCCACTCAAATTTTGCAGCGGCCCGTGCCCTGGCTGCCGCCGTGGCTGTGGCCCACGACAAACCGCACATCTTCTCGAATGTGCGGCCCACAGAGGATGCGTGGGACATACTGCTGGCCCGGGCCGAGGGATTGCATGCCCACGGCCATGGCCAGGAGGCGTGCATACTGGCCGTGCGTCTGGCCGAACAGATGCTGGCCAATCCCCCCAATCTGCTGCTGGAGCTGCCGCCCGTGCCCAAGCGGAAGGGCAAGAAGCAGAACGTGAATCCGATCTCCCATCAGCTGACGGTGGTGGCCTCGGCCACCCTGTCCAAGTGCGCCTTCCTCTGCACGGTTCTGTCGGAGAACTCGGAGCACTATCACATCGGCTTCCGGATATGCCTGTTCGCGCTGGAGATGCCTCGACCGCCGGCCAGCACCAAGCCGCTGGAGGTGAAGCTAGCCAACCAGGAGGCGGACATTTTGGCTCTCCTCAAGCGCCTGCCCCTGGCCGCCGCGGAGCTGCAGGTGATACGAGAGCGGGCCGAACAGCTACGCAGCGGCACATTCAAGACCCGCGGCGAGGCCCTGCTGCCCATCAATCTGGCCACCTTCATCTTTGATGCTTTGGTCACCCTCAGTCAGCAGACCGTGGGCTCCAGCTCCGTCTCGGTGGCGGGATCGCTGCCTAACAAGAGCCTGGTCAGCTGCGGTTCGCGGCTGCTCCTCTACAAGCAGAACAACGACGAGAATCTGGGCTTTGAGGCCGCCGTGGCCGCTCTGGGGCTGAAGGCCAATGTCTCCGAGGCAGAGCATCCGTTGCTGTGCGAGGGAACGCGACGACAACGTGGCGATCTGGCCCTGACCCTGCTCTACCACTACAAGGACGAGCCCCGGAAGATAGCCAAGATCATGGAGAAGCTGCTGGACAGGGATATACACACCCTGCTGAAGGCCCCTCTCCTCTCTGCCTACTACTCCAGCAATCCCCCCGTGCGGACGCCCAGCAATCAACCCTCGCGGCGCGAGGAGCACGACTATGGGGGAGGATCCAGTGGAGGATCTGGCTGCAGTGGAGGCGGAGGAGCATCGAGCTGTAATCCCGGCTCGGGCGTTGTCAATCTCTGCGAACTGTTGCCGGCGGACTATGGCAGTGTGGGCGGCAACAGCCGGCCCCATAGCTCGACCAGTGCCGAACTGGAGCTGAGCATGTGCGCTTTGAGCATGGCCATCAGCAGTGCGGGCAGCCAGTCCGGCCAGGGCATGGTCCCCGGCGGAGGAGGAGGCGGTGGTCAGGCGGGCGGCGGCGGCGGCAACTCGGGAACGGGGGCCAATGCCGGCACCTCTGGCAGCGGCGGCAACAGCAACAACAACAATCCCAATGGTAATCCCAATGGCTCCGGAGGAGGAGGCGGAAGCAACAGCAGCGGCCGGAGCAAGGAGAGCCGATACAAGGGCAAACGGGCCTACCCCTCGATACCCAACCAGCCCTCGGAGGCGAGCGCCCACTTTATGTTCGAGCTGGCCAAGAACGTGCTGACAAAGGCCGGCGGCAATAGCTCCACCTCGCTGTTTACGCAGGCGAGCACCAGCCAGAACCACCACGGACCCCATCGGGCGCTGCACATGTGCGCCTTCCAGCTGGGTCTGTACGCCCTCGGGCTGCACAACTGCGTCAGCCCGAACTGGCTGTCGCGCACGTACTCGTCGCACGTCTCCTGGATCCTCGGCCAGGCCATGGAGATTGGGGCGCCGGCCATCAGTTTCCTGATAGACACCTGGGAGGCGCATTTGACGCCGCCCGAGGCGGCTGGCATGGCAGATCGGGCCTCACGCGGCTGGGACAGCAACATGGTGTATCCGGCCGCCGAGCTGGCGTTGTCCGTGCTGCCGCATGCCGCCGCCCTCAATCCCAATGAGATACAGCGCGCCATACTGCAGTGCAAGGAGCAGAGCGATCTCATGCTGGAGCGGGCCTGCCTCACCGTCGAAACGGCAGCCAAGGGCGGCGGCGTCTATCCGGAGGTGCTCTTCCAGGTTGCCCGCTACTGGTACGAGCTGTATATGCGCGTCTCTCCCAACAACAGCGAGCACGATCAGCACGAGGACCCCATGGACCACTCGGCGGTCAGCCTGAGCGCCCTCATCGAATCCCAGCAGCAGCACGAGATGCAGCAGCAGGTGGCGGCTCACCAGCAGCAGCAGCAGCAACAGCAGGCGGCGGCCCAGCAGCAGCAGCAGCAACAGCAGCAGCAACAACAACAGCAGCAGCAGCAGCAACAGCAGCTGGGAATGTCGAATCCGGGAGGGCCAGGAGCGGGTCCCCTTTCTGTGGCGGTGCCCTCGCCCGTTGTCACATCCGTGAACACGCCGCAGGCTTTCCAGCCCGGCGTCGGAGTGAACGTGGGCGTAGGCGTGGCTGCTTTGGCGCCCATCGGGCTGGCTCCGTATGCGCCGTACAGCTTCTGCCAGGGAATATATGCGCATCACCACAATCTCAGCTATCCGCCGAGCCAGATGCAGATGTACATCTCCGCGGGTCCACCGCCCCCGCCCCAGGCCTATGCCGGATACCAGCAGCAGCCGCAGCAGCAGCCGTCGACACAGCAACAGCAACAGCAGCAGCAGCAACAACAGGTGCAGATGTCTGGCCAGGCGCCGCCGGGTCATCCGGTGCAGGGCCACCAGCCGCCGCCAGCATTCCAGGCGCCGCCACCGGGCGCTTTCCAGGCACTGCCGCCACAGGCGTATCAGGCCCTGCAAGCGGGACCGCCAGGACCGCCGATGGGACCACCGCAAGGCTACTACGGACCGCCGCCTCCGCCGCCGCCCAATGGTCCGCCCGTTGGAGTGGGCGTGGGTGTGCCCATGCGCCAGCATCAGCATCAACATCCCGTGTATCCATTCATGCAGCAGGCGCCACCACCTCCGCCCCAGCAGCAGCAGCCACCTCCCTCCCAGCCGCAAGTGCGACAGCGTCAGCCACATCAATTCACGTGAGTGTCTATACGTGCATTGGCGGAATATGTCCACCAAGATATAATCTTTTCTCTTCCACAGATCCACTCAGCTGCGTTATCTGCTGGCCGCCTACAATGTGGGAATGCTGGCCATGGAGACGCTGGCGCGACGCGTTCACGATGATCGTCCGCAGGCCAAATATGCCCGCAATCCTCCATACGGCGAGGATGTTAAGTGGCTGCTGAGGATCAGCAAGAAGCTGGGCACCCAGTATCTCCACCAGTTCTGCATCTGTGCTGTCAACTCGATCGTGAGTCCGTTTGTGCTGCACGACGTGGCCATTGAGTCGGCCCACTATCTGGGCAGGAATAACCATCAGCTGGTGATGCAGCATCTGCGTTCGGCGTTGACGCCGCTGGTGCAGAAGTGTCAGCAGATGTGAGTGGACCCCAGGGAGTGCCAGGAACACCCGATCTCTGAATGTGCGTTTCTTTCTTTCAGGTACATCCAGTGCATACACCAGAAGCTGTATCATCTGACGCAGGGGGATTACGAGGAGTTTGCCAGCATTGTGGTGGCCGCCAGGGCCGCCTTTCAGATCACGCCCGAGGGCAGTGCCCAGTTCAAGGACTGGCTGCAGTCCATCAAGAGGTGGGGTCCATCTAATTGGGGAATAAAAGAGACGTTTTGTACTCATCAATTTTTGGTTTTTTATTTTGTGTGACAGATCGAAATCCTGCAAGAAGGAACTGTGGACACAGATCAATGCGGCGCTCCAAAGCAATTCTAAATGACAAAGACTTGACTCCTGCACTCTGATGACGGCAGTGGCAAATGCAACAGCAGCAGCGGCCGCAGCGGCGGTAACGGCGGCGGCCGGCGGCACAACCACAACGACAGTTGCAACAGCCACCACAACGGGATCGAATACAGATGCAGGCAGCAGTTCAGAAGCAAAACAACAACAAAGCAAATCAACAACAGCAGCAGCAGCAACCACCAGCAACAGCATTGGCAGCGGTAGCGGTAGCGGTAGCGGCATTGGCAGTAACACGAACAAAACCAGCAACGATCCGGCAGCAGGGAAAACAGCCCTACACAGGAAAACACTACATTATCTACTGGAGACGCCCACAACCAGCACAGCCTCGCCTACAGCAGCAGCAGCAGCGGCGGCGGCAACGGTGACAACAACTGCTGTGGCAGCAACAACAGCAGCAGCAGCTGGAGCTGCCACAACATCGACAGCAACAACTTCAGCCCCGTCCGGACAGGGCTATGTGCGTCCTCCCCTGCTGGGAGGTGGACCAATGCCACCAACAACAACCACACCGATGGTGGGTCCGCCATTAATACCCAGATCAGCCGCTGCAGTGGCAGCAGCAGCAGCCTCCGTGCACGCTGCCTATCAGTCGCTGTCCTACTATCAGGCGGCGAATGTGGCGCGACAGCTGGCACAGCATGCACACAACCACCATAACCATGTACATGGCCACCCGCTGGCGCCCCATGCACACCCCCATCAGTACCAGCTGCAGTCCCTCAGTCACTATCATCAGCAGCTTTAACAACGTGCCAGCGGCGCTGCCCCTGGCGCGCCTAATCGCATCCCTCCAGCGCTTTGGCAGTGGTGGCCACAAGGACCCGGCTGCTGTCGCCTGCATCCGGCCGCAGCCGCACTCGCATCCGCCTGCCCATGCGGCAGGCCCCAACCCAATAGCGCAGGAAATGCACGTCGTCCGCCGCTACTGCCACTGCCGACAGGCGAGGGACAGGCTAGTGATGATGGTGCTTCTGCCTCTTCTGATGATGGGCCTGCTAGTGCTGCTGGTGCCGCTGCTAATGATGCTTCTGATGCCGATGCTTCGGATGATAACCCGGTGACGCCCACAAAAACCACCAAGGCACCAAAATCCCCTGAACCCAAATCTCCCACATCCCCATAGTCCCCCAAACAGCCCACAAACATCCCTCTGAAACAACAACCACCGCACTTAGTTAATGTTAAATATAATTTTGTACGTTAGTTTTTAGTTCGAGTTTATTTCGAATTTCTTTCGTAATCGTATCGTATGAATTTTTGTATCCATTAACTACAGATTTTGTGTGGTTCGTGTGTGTGTGTGTGTGTATGTGTGTGGGTTTGATATATTAGACTGAGAAATCTGCCAACAGCAACAACAACAACAACAACAACAAACAACAACAACAACAACCGCACACCCAGACACACAACAACAAAAGCCACAGAAAACAGACAAAAAACAGACCGAAAAAAGAGAAGACGGAACTCTTTATGACTTTGTTTTTGAGAATGTGTTCAGTTAAACTAACGTATTTATAGACGATCTATCTAATAGTTTTCTACCCTCTACTATCTGTAGCTCTAACCACGTATATATCTTTCTTATTGTATGTGTTTTTTTTTTTATATTATTATTATTATTTTTCGATCTTGAATCAGAAGTAATTTTCTCTAATTTAAGCCTAAACCTAATTTTTTTTATTAATTTTACGATCTATAGGATAAGTGGAAAAAGAAAAACAAAACACTTTATACGAAATTTTATATATATTTAATGTATTGTGGATAAGCAATTTTTAGGATTTTCAAATTTTTTCTGGCATAACAATATCAACATATATATACCTATACATAGTTCTATATATATTCGATATACTTCTATGTATATAGTATAAACAATGTTAATGCAATCAATCCGTGTTTAAACGAAGTAGTAGAAGAAGTTATTGGGGAGCAGTTGAGCAGTTTGTTTTAAATATTTACACCCCAGCAGCAAAAGACTTGGCCAGATCTCAATACAAATAAACACTATCAGATAAATTGTCAGCTGACGATGGGTTTCAGAGAATGTAGGACCCAATCGAACTGCTCTAATATCAAAAACACATTAAAGCAAAGCCTCTTCCTTGCTTCAATTTCCAGAACTCTCTCCGTTCTGGCTGTAATAATTATCCGATCACAATCTGTTTACCTTCAGTTTTGGATTCCACGAGACTTTCGATTTGCGTTACAAAAATCAATCAAACATCGAATTGGGCTGTTCCTAGCTTTCATAGTCTCCAAAATTCAGTTCTTCGTATAATCATCTGGCAATCTACGCGGACAGTTTTGTTGAGAGACTGGCGGGGAAAGCGTTAATCTGCCCAGTTTCATACATTTTCACATATTAAATATACCCTGTTGTTATTTTTTTGCGAGTCCTGGGAATATCTTTTGAAAATCTTTTCGAAAACAATTTCAGCTTAGTTGCGGAAATTGGTTTGTCAAGATTTAGACAACAAATTTGAGCGCATCGTAAGGCCGGCAGGACATAAATATGTACATCTATCTATATGCGAGTATTAGAACCCGCGGAGAGCAAATATTTAAGACAAATTGCCGCTATTTCTTCAGCCTACTTATTTTACTTTATCCGGTGGCAGGCAGACACTCTTCGGACCTGTTTGTCAGTCTCTGGCCACAAGATGATGACGAGATTTGAATACTGAAACAATCTAAACAGATTTCTTTATAGTTTATAGACATTACCTTTTTCATATTCAATATATAAAATATATTATAGTTTTTTGTTGATGAAGCAAACACATTGATCTAGAATTTTGTTAGTTGAAAAAAAAGAGCAGCAGAAAACTTTCTATTTTTACAATTTAACAAAAAAAGAAAAAACCACAAAAAAAAAATAATTTTTTTTTGCTTTACAATTGTGTTTATTTTTTAAATACATTTGAATTTTATCAATGCTTTTTTTTTATTATGTCTATGAAACATAAATATTTTTTTAAAAACATCAAGTTCTATATTTATACACGCCCAAAAAAAAAAGATGGAAAAAAAAAATTTTTATATATACACCTAATGCAGTTTTGAATAAATATGGTTTTTTGGATTTATTTCAAAACGCAACAAAAAAAAAAGCGAAAAAAAACAAAAACAAAAACACAAAATAATTAAAGTTTGTTTTATTTGTCACACATTAATTTTTTATTTATTCGGGAACCAAAACTACACCTTTTCGAAAACTGCAAAACATTTACAGAGCTCAAATGTAAAACATTTATTAACGTTAGCATTGCTATTTTATTTATGCAATTTCTTAACATTTCTTTACATTAAAAACTTCCAAGCTTAAGAGGGAATTTACTCCAGATTTTTGCCACATTTTGTGGTGATTACAATTTATAAGAAATTTATCACAAAAATATTTCTATCTGATCCATTTGGAATTTTTTGAGTTAATGATATTTATTTACGTTTCGCGGGACAAAGCCCCTTTACTAGCGAGGATCATCATCAGACTGCGGTCCATTTCATTGATTGCTTGTGCTGGTCAAAGCAGTAGCCCAATCCCCCAACCCGCCCCAACCATCATCCCATAAGAAACCATCCTTAAAAGCATCGAAACAAAACTATAAAAGAAACTGCCACTGTCCTGAGGATTGCGTAGTGTCATAGTTATATGTACTATAATACTTACTACATTATATATTTAGGAATACAGTATCGCGAGTCCCCGAAACCGAAACCAGCCCCCCGTTAGCGCGAAGGTTGCGCCAGGGTCGATCTGTGGACCAGTGAGGCCCTGGCCATCCTCTTAGTCCTCAGTCCTCGGTCCTCAGTCCCTGCTTAGAGATTGTAAATACAAAAATCGTATATAAATATTGTGAATCTCCTTCGTGTTTTTTTTTTTTATAAAATCGTAGACCACTCCAGAGAACATGTGGATAAAATACTTAAGCAAGATCGAATCTCGGATTATCGGCAAGCAATCAAGTAAGCTGTAAACATTTAGTGGGGAAAGTTTTATACAGGCAAAAATAAAAACATAAACGAGAAACGAAATAAAAAAATATTAAAACGAAACGAAAAGAAAAGAAACAAGATATTAAAAGAATCAACACACATAGGTTTATTTCTATATAAAAAACGAATGCAATCTGTACATTGAAATAAGTAACATAACTGTTTTTAAATTATATTAAAAAAAAAAGAGAGAAAACTCTATATATACATATATAGATCGACATATATATTTATATTTATATATATATACATATATAGTTAACTTTTTTCCATGAAAAACAAAACCAAAACAATTCAAAAACCAAATGATTAATGAGAACCGGATACACCCAGCTTTGTTTAACCGATATTTGTAAATTATACACGCTATAATCCCAATCAGAAAAGTAGTAATCGTAGAGGTAGACACGGAAAATATTGATTAAACTAAAGGAACGAAAGCCATAGACAGAACACCAAATAAACCAATAAGTGAAAAGCAGCAGGAAAAGTATATGGAAAACTTTATACAAAAATATGAATAATTGAAAACCAAATGTTAACGTAGCCGATTAGCCTTTAGATCACATTTAGCGCATATTTTACACAAGCGTAGTGAACCAATTCCACATAAATAGTAGGTATAGCCACCAGAAATCCCCACTCACCTCGAAACCTTCCCAACTCCCCTCATAGATTAGGAACTGAGTAAATCTGAGTAAAACCATCCATTGAGAGTGGAGTGAGCTGAGGTTTCCCCAAGCTGTTTCGTTATTTAAAAAAGTCAGACCCCGGATTCAGGATATACGATATATGTCACCAGCCTCCGTGAAAGCGATCCTTATTTTCTGTGGGGACTTTATCACTTTAAAAAAGTTCATATGTATATTCAATGTTCTCAATTTATTTGTGAACATATTCGCTCCGGGAACTTCTTTCCTCAAATTCACTCGATATGTGTGGGTACCTCAATACCTTAGGCAGCCACATTAACCTTAAAGCAAACCCAAGAGATGCAGTCATAGATATAGAAGACTATCTGAATCTCAGCATAGCAAAGTGTATATAGCCTCACAACACACACTCACACACACACAACTAAACACAGACAAAAGCAGACGAAAACTGGTGCACTCGGAGCTGATGGGGGACTGGATATGGTCCGGCTATATCGCTCTGCAAATCAGCTCCCTGTTGGGATCCGCACAAATTATACATATATACATATACGGACACAGACACAACTACAGACAAACACGGGCATACTATACTTCACGTTAATCTTAAGTCGGAAATAAAGCATTACCTCATACTTTAAATACTTATGATGATGAAAGTTACCAGTAGTAGATCACTCAATATACATACATATATATATTATATACATAGATATACATATACACATGCATAGATATATATACATCTATATATTACAAGAAAAATTCTTAGAAATAGGACATTTTTTTGTAGCAATCGAACATAGGCTTTATGGAAATTCTATCATTTGATTTGTTGTGAAATATGGACGAAGAAATCGATATTTTGGGGAGAGATAGCCGTCATCTTTGGGCTTATGAAAATTCTTTGAGATCGTTCTAGATATCAGATCTCTCTCCGAGCATCCGCTTTAACCTTTAACCTCAGACTTGTTTCGGAGGCATTTGGCATTTGCGTTACTCCTGGCTCTTTGTACATTTTGCACTGTAAAAACTAAAAAAAAATATACATAATAATTTGAAAAACAAAAACAAAAACTACGAAAATAGCTTCAAAACGCGCAAAAAGTTTATCATGCAAATATATCTACATAAATATATATTATATATATATATACATATATATATATATATACAATGAAACGACGTTATTTATATATACGCCTACAGAAAAATGAGTAAAAAAAAACCAACAAAAACTATTATATACAAAATATATATATACATACATATATAAATATATATATATATATATATATACAATACTTATTTACATTGCATATTTTAGCGTTTTATTCGACTTTGGAAAATAAAAAAAAAAAAACAACAAAAAACCAGAAAAACAAACCATAGAAACGCGACAAAAGTGTTCTTTTTAACTAAAAGCTGGAATAAAGTCACCAAAAAATATACATATATAAATGCAAGGAGATGCAAAGGAAGAAAATAGAAAATAAATTAAGCAAGAATATTTATACACGGAAATGCATTGGCATGTTGAAAGCTTAAATAGAAAACCACTAAAATAAAAACTTGAAAACTAATTTTACAAAAAGGAAAAAATAATACAAGTTTTTGTACCAATCGCTGTAAATATGTAGCAAAAAGACGGAACACACACAATTTTGACGGGTCTCGGATTCATATTTTCCCTTGATAAAAGAGGAACGAAAAAGCATTCCAACAATCCGAAGCTTTAATCCATTGCCACACAGACACACAGCTATGCTAAAAAGCTTTAAAACAAATTAAAAACATTTCTCTTAACAATTAAAAAACACGACTTTTACGAACAGAAGAACAGAGACTCTGCCAAAATCAAGCAAACCAAAATAAATACCCAAATTCTTCTTTATGTAGCAAGAAAGTGTAAGCCACAGAATAATACGGAAACTAACTAAGAAAAAATAAATTATAAAAACCAGAATCAGAAACAGAAACAAAAACCGAGACAGAGACAGAGAGAAGACGATATGGGAATCGAGAAATAAAATAAAAAAGCTTATTTTATATATTCAAACATACAACAATAAAATAAACGAAATGACCATTAAATGAACTAAATTATATATGAAAAAATTATAAGCAGAAATATATATATATACATACATACATCATATGGTATATATGAATGATTTTAAACCATGTAAAGATCACTGAAGAAACGTTTTTTCAACTTTTAATAGTTTTCCGAAAGTTAGTGAGCGAGCGAGAAGGAGAGTTGGAAAGTGCGAGGGAAGAAGATAGAGAGAGCTACAGACGCCCATTATTATTAACTAATTTAATATACAGTATGCTGTATACATATATATACATAATGAATATAGTATATACATATACATATATCTACTATATTAAAATGAAAAACTTAAAAAAAAAACAAAAAATTAATTTAAATGAAATGATGATGAGTAATAAATATACACCGCAAAGGCAAATGAGTAAACAAAAAGATACATTTTAAAACAATGAGAAAAAGATCGAAAAAAATACACAAAACAGAACACTCAAATAAAAAAAAAACAAAAAAAAAGAAACCAACAACAAAAAAAAACATAAAAATCTACGACTTTTCATTAATATGTGAGCCTTTTCCGTGAACTACATATTTTCAAGGATCTGTTATTTTATGCGAACGTTTTTAGGTCCGTAAATGTTTGTATTCCACATTCTAAGCGATCTGAAAACTTTATAATATTTGTTAGAGTATACCCCTACATCTCGGTCAGATAGGCAAATCGGCGAAGGATATACTTTCCCAGGACCATGAGGATCCAATTTGGACCAATTTCGACCAAATGCAAACGAAAACTTTCTCACAGTAATGCGAGTCAATGTGGGGCACCCTGCATGCGGCACTCATACTGATTTTTTCTGCTGCCCCCCTTATAAAATGCGACTGTGCACCGTTTTCGGCACCATCTTCATCATCCGCTCCGACGTCTCAACCGGTGGTCCGTACACTCATTCCATATTCCGGGTGGGAATTTGCTGGCAGAGTCCTCTTCCAAACCTCAAAAAATTAGCCAGGCTTTGCCTCTTTGCAGCAAATGAAAGTGTGTAGTGAGACGCGGTAAAGCCAATCGCAAACAGAGGTTAAGGCCACAGCCGTAGCCGATGGAACGGGAGGGGATCCACGGGGAGAGATGGAATTGTCTTATATTAGACAGTGGCAGGAGCATGATAAGTGGTACCAAATGTCTCTTTGCTTCAATTGCGATGTACTTTCAAAGTAGTCTGATCGGATAATAATGCGGAAGTGGAAGAGGATAAATCTCTTTGATGTCTATATCAAGACAATGCGTCTTTTGTAGAGACAGACCTGCGGAAAAGGTTCCTACGTAAAAGACGAGATAGGGTACAATTTTCCTGGTAGATCATCATTATAGGGGTTGGCTCCCAAGGGTAGTTGGCTCTATTTCGCAGGTGTTTAGTGTTGAACAACGTCCGTATATAGGGGTAATGGCCACTGTTGCGCACCAGTGCGATATAGGGGAAACTCTGTTGCGCACCTATGAACGCAGTACGGAAATACTCTGTTAAGGCAAAACCGGTAAAACATGTTCCTTTTTATATAATTAATCTCATAGTCTCGGGTGTGTTATGTCCTCGGTATGTACGCGGTGATAAGTCCAGAGAAAGCTGGATGAGATTGGGCCGGAACCTGCAGGCACTCGTAGTGTTCGAGCATTTGAAAATGTCCTAAGGGCTTTCTGTGTATTTAAATATATTGTATTAGTAAAGTATGGTGATTTACCGTCCCCAAAGGCATATATATATATACATATATCTCGATAAATATGTAGTCTACATATGGGAAGTAAGTATAAAGAATCATTGAATATATTTATATTTTCATAAGTAATACCATAATACACATGTAATTTTTTCCAATAAAAAAAAAGAAAGTAGAAAGTAATTTGTATGGGTTACCAGGGAGGTATGGAGAGTGTTCTGATTTTGGTATATAATAAATAAGCAGGTATTTCAACTATCAGCTCATTCGATTTACATATAAAGGAATGCATTTAAAAGTAGCAACATGGAAAGTCAACAGTCAGTAGAAGAAAAGCAAAGAAAAGCATAGAAAGTAACTTTCAAAGGGTAATTAGTGGAGGTAAACATTTTGTATCGATGAGTAATTTTGATAGCAGCTGTCTGTAAAGCGCATTGGGGATGCTGCAACCCCCACTCTAACGATAGTCCCGACTGCACTCCGGAGGTCCTGAAATTTTCGTCATTCCGTGTACCAACACTAGTGCGTTCAGCAGGAAAGTTATTGCGTAGTACTCTACTAAGGAGTAACCCACTTAAAAGAAAAAGTTAAGTCTTTAGCTGATTGCGATCCGCCAGGCGAGAGGTCAAGTCAACCTACATCTGATCTAAGCTTCAAAGGCAACAGGTTCCGACAGTGGTGAAAATATTATCGCGCACTATACAACTGTTGCACTCGCAGTTGCAGTTGCAGTTCCAGCTCTACTCTCAAAACAAAAACATCTTCAAAACATCAACAAAACGCGTGTGGACGTATAAAAAGTGATGAAGGGCATACATGAAAGCATCGTAGTTGCGGTCAAGTCGGGAGAATTCTTCTTGGGCATTAGACAGACGCTGAGGACTTTGAATCGTGGGGAGGCTAAGCTGGTCGTCATCGCCAGCAACATACCCACAATTATGCGGATTAAGCTGGAGCAAAGCGCCGCAATTGCCAAGGTCAGGATCCAGAATTATGGAGGGACCAACAAGGAGTTGGGCATCGCCTGCGGCAAATCCTTCCGTGTGAGCTCCTTGGCCATTACCGATGCTGGTGATTCGGACATCCTTGGCCCCCCATCGGCTTACAATTAGATGCTGAAAATTAATGTCTACATATTATGCAAAAATATTATACTTACTCGTAAATTACAATTTTAAATAAAGGAACAAGTTACTCCGAATGTGTTTGTGGTTCAATGGACAAGTGTACTTTTTTTTGTGTTTGGATTGGGACAGCTACAAGTCCCCCAATGAGATGTGCAAGGCAGGGGGAGGTCGAAAGGAGGTTCTATATATTGCAGGTGCCATAGGAGCGACCGAGTTGTCAGGTAATTCTTGTGTTGTAACCAACTGAAGGATGTCTTTAATCACTAACACACAATATATGTGTATCTGAATGCAGGGGCATAATTTTATAGAAAAATATATGGTAAAAAATAACTGCTCCACGGGAGCTCCTTTAGAGAGCCGTGCTGCGGCATCCGACGACCATGGCCAGCAGAGCCATGCGGATGTACATACCGTACTCGGCCTGCCGGAAGTAGGCAGCGCGCGGATCCGAGTCAAAGTCGCGACTGATCTCGTCCAGACGGGGCAGCGGGTGCAGCACAATCATACGCTTCTTGGCCAGAGTCATCAGCTTGGGCGTGACAATGAAGCGACCGTTGCACTGCAAGAACCAAGCATATATCAGCATCAGCTGGCAGCATCTGGATTATCCTGGGCGCTTACCTTCTGATACTCGCTGTCGCTGTCGAAGCGCTCGCGCTGTATACGCGTCATGTAGAGCACATCGGTGTCGGCCAGCACCGTCTCGAGGTCGTTGCAGAACACCTGGTTGACGCCCCGCTCTTTAACAAACTTGGTGATTTCGTCCGGCATCTGGAGAGTCTCGGGCGCCACATACTGCAGCGTCACATTGTAGAGGGTGAGGAGACGTGCCAGCGAGTGGACGGTGCGCCCATTTTTCAGATCTCCACACATGGTGATGGTGAGCCCGTTTACGGTGCCGATCTCCTCCCGAATGGTGAATATGTCCAGCAGTGCCTGGGTGGGATGCTCCCCGACGCCGTCGCCAGCATTGATCACCGGCTTGCGGGAGTACAAGGCGGCACGCTGAGAGCCAATAAATGAGAGATTAACGAATGGAAAGGGCGTCAATCCATTGCATACTTACAGCCACAGCTCCGGGTAGGGGATGGCGCAGCACCATGACATCCGCATAGCTGGCCATCACTTTGATGCTGTCCTCCAGGGACTCGCCCTTCTTCACCGACGATGTCAGCTGATCCATGCTGATCACCCGTCCGCCCAGTCGGAGCATGGCGGCGGCAAAGCTGCACTGCGTCCGTGTGCTCACCTCGTAGAAGACGCTGGCCATGATCTTGCCGCGCAGCAGATCGTCCAACGGCCGGTCCTTGGTCACACGCGACTTGAGCAGCTGCGCCAGATTGAAGATGTCGTTTAGGTGGTCCTTGCTGAACATGTCCACGGCCAGGATGTGCTTGCCCACCAGCGAATGGGCCACCGGGTTGGGACTGGGCTGAGAGTACTGGTTGGCCGCCACCGACCCCGATGCCGATCCAGACACAGACATGGCGGTCCGCTGCAGGTAGTCCCTCAGGGTGGTGTTGCTGGACGAGTCCAGGCGGTGGCGCGGTGACGGGGAGATCGGTCGCAGGAAGCTGTTTGAATTGTTGGCCTCGTCCACAAAGTGGACCTTCGCGGCACCCTCCACAGTCAGGAGGCGGGCAAAGGTGTCGTTAGCGTCCCTATCGCTGGGCAGCTCTTGGGTGGCCTCGGAGAGCAGCTGCTGGGCGCCCGCTTTGTTGCGGACATTCTGCCCGAAGCCGGGCTGCACGAGCACCTGGCCGTCGATGAAGGCCACCTCGCCGCGCAGGACCACGCGATGGACACGACCCGTGACCTTGGTCCCCTCGAAGGGCGTCCAGCCGGCCTTGGTCTTCAGCTCGCTGCCGGAGATGGTCCACTCCTCGTCCAGATCGACCTCCACATAGGTGTGCGGCTGCTCGGGCAGGTTGAAGATGTTGCGCGGATTGCGGTGCAGCTTGCGTTTGATATCCTCCATGGTGAGCCGGCCCTCGTGGACGGCTTGCAGGAGGAGCGGCAGGATGGTCTCCAGGCCGGGAAAGCCGGGCGGTGGACGCTCCGATTGCTTCTCCTCGAGCGTGTGCGGTGCATGGTCGGTGGCGAACACATCGATGTACTCCATGTGCTCCCACAGCGCCTCCTGGTCTTCGGGTGAGCAGAGGAGCGGACGCACCTCGGACATGCCGGAGCCCAGACGATCCACATCTTTGGTGCTAAGGAACAAGTGGTGCGGGCACACCTCGCACGTTACCTTGATGCCCTTCTCCTTGGCCGCCCGAATCAGCTGGATCTCCTCCTTCCTGGCCACATGGCAAATGTGCACATGGCGATCCAGCAGATGTGCCAGCAGCACCACAGCCGCCATGCTCTGCTTCTCCGCGTGGCAAACGATCGGGGCCCGTTTGGGCCAGTGTGAGAGGTGCCGCTGCCAGGCCGTCATATCGCTGAGCCTCAGTGTGCCGTACGTGTCGTTGAGGTACATCTTCAGGCCACACGCCTGCGAGGCCAATTCGTGGGCCTGGGCCCAGTTCGCATCGGAGGCGCCCAAATATAGGGCATAGTCACAGCGCGCACCGAGGCGGGCCAGCTCCTGGAACTGGGCAAACGTCTCCTTGTCGACGATCGAGGGATTCGTGTTGGGCATGGCACAGACCAGGGTGACCCCGCCAGCCAAGGCAGCGGCTGTGCCGCTGGAAAAGTCCTCCTTGTGCGTGGCACCCGGCTCTCGCAGATGCACATGGACATCGATGAAGCCCGGCAGCTTGACAATCCGCCGCGAGGTCATGCAGTCCGTGTGCGTCTTCATCGCCGGCTGGCCACCCATCAGGCGCATCGATTCCACCAGCAGTTTGGTGCACTTGACATCCGTCACCAATGGTATGGAGTAGTCCACGGCCAGACGACGGGTGCGATAGCCATGCGTCATGAAGGAGGACACCCTAAAAGGCAAGGACAAGTGCATCCATAAGCCATCAGTGCTAGGAGGGGGGGCAGCATTTCTGGACTCACCTTCTGACACCGCCGCCACTCATTGGCAAATTGATGACCAGATCGAACTGTTTATTGGCCAGGAACTCGGCCAAATGACGCAGCTCCCCATTGATGTCGTCCGGCGTTGTCTTATCGAATGTCCACTGTACGGATTCCACCTGTAGAGAGCAGAGAAAGGAGAGCATTACATAGTGAGAGGGCATTCCCAAGGCCAAGTGAACGTCAGTGGCAATCTTCAACTTCAAATGCAATCAATTGTTTGCCCAGGCCACACACAGATATCGATTTTTATGGGATGTTGTAGAGATTCCAGAAAATACAATTAATAACCCCCCGCCCCCGTTTCTATGGCACAGTGGGTCCAGACACGCGCACAACGGTGAAAGGGAGAAGGTTGACCACGATTATATTATTATTCTATATCCTATTAACTATAAGAATACAAATATCCATTTAATAAGGTTACCAAGAGTTATTTATGATTTATATAATATAAATTATAGTCCTTAGTGTCCCTGGAAATGGATTTATACATACATATGTATAATGTATGCTCATATTACCCAATAGCATGGCTTCACTTTTTAGTACAAATCCTAGTTTAAAGGTAAGAAAAATGGGGGGTCCCACAGTAGAGTGAAAATAGTCGTTTGGAACCAACCCCGCCCCTCGCCCAGCCGGAAGTGTAGTCAGAGTCAGCACTTATCTCCGCTGATGGCTGATGATTGCGATTGTTTGATTGTTGATTGGTGTTGATTGGCACGACCTTATCAGGGAGAAGAGTGCTGGCGACAAGACAATCGAACCCGATCAGAGACACACACGGAGCCGTCCGTCAGTAAAGAAGCAAAAGTCAGCCATGGGTTGCTCCTGCTCGAGGCCATCGGAATACGAAGGATCCACACCGAGTCCACTGCAGGCGGGCATTGCCCCCCCGCGCGTCCAGCGGCGACGCCAACAGGAGGAAAAGCGGATGCGTCAGCTGCAGAAGCTCCAGAAGCGCAATGCCCGCAGGCGACAGCAAAAGCGAGGATCGAGCGGTGGTTCATCAGGATCGATACGACGCCGCCGTATTAGCGGCAAACCGAGCCAGGATCTGGCCCTGCAGCTGCGTCTGCTAGGCGGCAGTAATGGGAGCAGTGCCACCGAGTGTGTAAGTGCGTTGTATGCCCGCACCTTGGAGCACCAGCGGGAGGAGCTGCAGCGCACCATCGAGCAAAAGACACTGCAACAGCTGGACAAGGAGCTGCCCACGTTCCTGCTCAACCAACTGCTGCTGGGCCTGCAGTTCTTCGCGCACTTTGATGCCGAGATGGGGGCCATGGACGAGGAGCTGCAGGCTCAGAGGCGTGCCTGTGGCCAGTCCCTCACCGAGCACAGCCTTCTGCAGGCCAGCGCCATAGATGTGACCGTGTCCAAGCATCTGCACTTTAAGCCCATGTAGGTGGCACTCCTCACTCCTCCCTCCTCTCCAGACCTCTCCTGATCTCTCGCTGTTCTTTTTTTTTAGAGCTGCGAAGCACTCCCAGCCCCTGCAGAAGCCCCTGACGTATGTGGTGTTCGAGAACGTGGACATATCACGGCCGAACGATGCCAACTACGACTCGATTGCCACCCTCTGCAAGGTGCTGCTGGAGTCCGACTACTACACATCCACGCCCTGCCGATCCGAGTACGTTCAGCTGATGGAGCAGTCCCGCTGGATGGGCTATGTGCGCCTGAAGCTCAGGGAGCAGGCCCACGACCCGGCACACCCACTCGTTCCGATTGGGGCCATGCCCGCCAGCAGCGGCGATGAGGGGGAGGGGGAGGGCGATGGCATCTACACGGACGGTGGAGGATCGACATCCGGCTACAGTTCGGGCAGCTGGCGGGAGGGTGACTACGATCACGTCTATCTGGCACGCCTCAACACTCTCCGGTCCATGGAGGAGCTGAGAATGGGCAACGCCACTCCGCTGGAAAGGAACGTCCTGCCGGAGGGATGCGTA